AGGAAATATTACAATAATATTGACTCGACTGGACGTAGCCCATATTAGATAAACCAGAGTAAATCTGCAGTAGGTGTCTTCATTTTATTGCCAACACAGTTGCGTAATAGCATAGTGTGTGAACTCAGACGTCGAGAAGCGGCAATGGAGTACGCAAAAAAACAAAGAAGACAAAAGATTTAAGAGTGGAATCTGATATTTCAAAATATTATTAAGATAATAATTAAATTCGCCCACATCTATATAATATAAGTGTATGTGTTGATAAAATGATAATAAATAATTGAGTAATTTCTCCACGTTTCATTAGACTTATAATTAATTAATTAGTCCTATGTTGTTGCCAACCACCAATAAAGCCTTCAAAATCAATAATATATAGTCATTAATAAAGTATGAACACGATATTGATACTGTATGGGTGATCCCACGTTATCGAACATATGTTACATGTGCAAATTGTGATTTAAATTATTTCCACGTGAAGATTGTTTGTATTCAAGAATCAGTACCTGTACATGGCATTTTAATGAATTTAATTAAAATAAATAAATTGTATTGGGATATAATATGCGGCACTGATTCGTTTTCCAGAAGCGAGAAAGGTCAAAGTAATTCTCATATTGTAGGGTTGAGCATGGGTAACTGGTAAACCTGGAATTGGTGGGTACCCACCCATCAGTTATGGGTAAGAACCAAAATCGGCTCACACAGGGTCGGTTTTGGTTCCAAATTTGGTGGAACCAGTCCTGTCTGATTCCACCACTTCAAGAACCAAACTTGGAATCGAGATTCAGGTACCCGAGGTGGCACCAACGGGTACTCAAGGTGTATTGATAATTTTTATAAATTTTTTGGAGTGTATTGGTAATTTTTAGGAGTATTTTTGTTAGTATTTAGAATATCATGAGGGAATAGAAATTTACAGGGTACCCGGAACCAGAACCTGTGTTTTATGTTCCAATTTTGGGTACCCAAGAACTAGAACGGATCGATTCTGGTTCTGATTCCAAATTCAAGAAACCGATCAATTCTAGTTTTGGTTCTGGTTTCTTGGAATTGGGTTGGGTATACCCACTCCGCCCTACTCATGTGCATGATTCTTGAACCAAATTAAGTTCATCCTTTAGATTTTTTTTTTTTTTAATTAAAAAGCTTTAGATATTAATAATTTTTTTAGAGACTTTGATGTTAATGGTAAGGGTTATTTATTTCTTCTTTTAATATTAAATTTTATTATAGATTAAATTTTGATGTAAATATACAACGTGGACTGTATATTGCATTATTACTATATTACTTCATAATAGGAAGTGATCGTTAGTCTCACATATATTATGATTAACTCTTCCTCAATTTAAAAAGGGTCAAAAATGTCATTTTAATTTGTCTTTGTATAAGGTTTCTAAACCATGATACTCCTGAAAAAAAAAAATTCTTAATTGAATAACCCTTAAGTGAAAGTAAATATTTATATTTAGAATAAAAGTTAATATTTTAGTATGAAAAGTAAAACTTGATATCAAAATTCATGTTTGATGCATTAATCGAGCTAGTCATTGAGGTTCTCATCCGATCAATAGTTTCACGGTCTCGATAAATTAATTGAAGTAAGCACAAACTAACCTAAACACCTGTAATGATTAAAAAAAAAAAAAATTAATGTTTGATCAATCAAAATAAACAAAATTTCAAAGAAAATCTTAGGCTCGAGGGAGTTACAATTTCAAGCATGATAAAGAAATACCCAAATTGTAAAACTCTAAAATATTTTTCTTCTAAAATTTGAATTAACACCCTTTCAAAATCTTTAAAAGTCTAATTAAAATACTCAAAGTTTTAATAAAATTTTATGGGTAAGATCAATGGTGTAAAAATAGTGATTGGAAGAATGAATGAATGAAAGTAGCTAAATAGGAGGAAGTGAGCAAGTGTTGAAAATTTCGTCTTCAAGTGAGCAAGGCACCTTGGTTGGAAAGTCAGCAAGTTTTAAAACCCTAGTTTTCAAGTGGCAAGAGTCTTGCCGCAAGACACCATGAATTATTTGACTGGTAGTAGGAGACTCCTGATATTGACAAAAAGAAGAGCATTCTAATTGGTAATGATAAAAGGTAGCGGTCAAAGGTTTGTTCCCTTCATTAACTTCCAGAGTTCGAACCTTGAAGTTACCTACTATAATATTTATGACTTACTTTGAAACATTGAGTTTGTAGGGTATTCAATAAACTTCAGCAATTAATCAAGGTGCGCGTAAACTGGTCCAGATACAACAGTCATTAAAAAAAAAAAAGGTAAGTTAAAGCTATTTTATTGTGTTATATTTATATTACAATTTTATCTTTTAATTGGGGTTAATGATCAAATAAATGGGGTCTAAAAGATCCAAGATCACTTCCCCTTTATTATTGTATTAATTATATTTATATGTCGATTTAAGGAATGAGATATCATTTGAAATGAATGAAAAATTGAAGATAAAACTTAGGATGCCATTTTTATTACCATTTTCGCTTTTGTTTTAATTCTCTTTTTATTCTTTATTTTACGTTTAGAAAATGCAAATATTCTGTACTTATTCATTTATCATTTTTCTACTAAAAAATAAAGAATCATACTAATAATAAACATCGATCTGCAAAACCTTGCTATAAAATATTTAGCCGAAATTCATAGAGTTAATAACATGAAGAACTGATCATTTAGACAACTTAAATATTGTTGGAATTAAACAACGCTCTGAAAATAATATTTGGAATCAACTGCTACGTACCATCGACAGACTAATTTTTTTTTTTTTTTATGACTCTTCAAGTATTTTAATTAACCACTTACAATTTTATATTACAGTACAAGTTATTTGACATCACCGGCAGAACACATTACATAAAATATGACCAATGCCAGTCCGGCTTAATTTTTCTTTCTTTTAAAATATGTGTTCCATTGGGTGAGTTTTGAATATAAATTGACTTTTAATCATAGGATTAGTCTTTTTTTTTTTTTTTTTTTTTTTTGGTTGTGGGGGGTGAGGGGATTAATTAAAGGATTATGAACAAGATGATGTATATCTTTAAAAAGGTAAAGTAAAAAAGAAAAAAAAAAAACCTTTAATTTTATTAATACAAATTTAATAACTTCTGTAATAAAAAAAAAATCAAAATTTAAAAATTTGATTGCCTTTATTTGTTAAACTTTCCTTTTCATAGCTGCCAAATATACTTTTCAAGCTTCCCCCTTATTTAGTAGGGTTATATATAGCACAACTCAACAAACTAAATTCATATTAATAGATAGTCAATTAATCAATTAATTTCGAGAAATTATATAAAATGGCACTATTTTGGGTAGGAAATTGAAAACTGGCACTTTTTTGAAAACCTTTTCAACAAATAGCACAATCCAATTAATATTACGGGAATTTGAAGGACAAAAATGCTCTCATATATAAACAAACCTTAAACATTCACTCATCTTCTTCAAACTCATCCTAACCATTGCCTCCATCGAAGACTTTGAAAACCCAGCCTATAAACCAATTTTGCTATTCGATTTGGTCATGGATTTCAGTCGATTTGACTTGCAATTAAGATTTTGTTGTATTGTTTTAGATTTAGGGTTTTGATGGAGTTGTTGGTTTAGGAAGAGAAATTGGGTTGATTGTTGTTTGATGGTGCGAATTTAGGTGGTTTTAATGGCTGTCAATTGTAGAAATGATTAGGGGATCTGTGTTTTTTGGATGATAGGGGTATAACCGGATTTAGCCGTTTGGGTAGCTTAAGGTTGAAGATGACTAAAAATGACCGAAACTTGTCGATAGGGAGTATCATACACTTTTCATACCTATAAGGGGTATATGTAATTTTTACAAAGAATAATTTTATATTGTCTGAATGGGTTGTCTTCCAAGTAAAATTACAAATATCCCTATATTAGCAAGAAAAGTGTCTAATACCCCCATATCGACTGGTATGGGAGTTCTCTTCAACCTTAGAATACCTAAACAGTCAAATCCAGCTGATAAACAGTCTCAGACTTTGTCTAAAACATCAAAATCCTTCAATTTTCAACATCCCCATCTAAATATTAACCCGAACAACCAATATTAACCACCTATCTACATAAATATTCTTCGATTTAGTAGGGATTGTAGTTATTAGGGGTGTTCGGTTCGGGTACCCTGCATTTTTTGAAGGAACCGGAATCGGAACCGACGGTTTCTTGAGATTTGGAATCGGAACCGACGGTTCCGATTCCTAAGTACCCAGAACTAGAACCTGTAACAATGGTTTCGGTTCTGGGTACCTTGTAAAATTACTGACCCACCAAAAGTTTTTAAAATTGCAAAAAAACCCCTTAAAAACTTACAAATACCCCCCACCTGGCACTTGTTAACAAAAATAAAATTATAAATTCAAAATTAAAAACTCCATTACTTTGTAAAGGTAGATTCTCAAAATTCAATTCAACTTACTTTAAAAGTTATGAAATATAAATATAAATGTATTCACGTTACTTTTTCTACAAAAGTTTTTATTAACCCCCGTAATCTTTAATTTTATTTTATATTAGTCTTGGTTCCTGGTTCTTGATTTCGGTTTCGGTTCCAAAAATTTGGAACCAGAACCTACCCATTGACGATTGGTTCTGGATAGGAAACGAAACCAAACCCAGGGTACCCGCCGGTTCTGGTTCCAACCGGTTCTTTTGAACACCTCTAGTAGTTATAGAGAATGGGTTTGACGGGTTTTAAGGGTTGAAGAATAAGTCAAAATGGGCATTTCCGTCCATAAAATGGAATTATGCTATATTGTAAAAGACTTTCCAATAAGTACTAGTTTTCAACTTGGACCTCAAATTAGTGCTATTTATTATAATTTCTCATTAATTTCGTCAATGATTTGAATTATCTGCCTCAATCTTATTATTTTGGTTACTGCTATTTCATGCATATTAATAGATAGCCAAGTTAATAATCAATTAATTTGATTTATATGTAGAAGTACTCAAACGGGTGGGTTACACAATTATAACAAGAGAATTTTGATGATAAATAAAGACTTGAGGAGGTGCTGATTTTTTCTATATTACTACTATGCAGCCCTTGAGCAATCAAACTTGATTTCTTTCCTCATAATTAACATTGGCCGGCAAGCCATCGAGAAATTATTTTCACATATTTCTTATTCTAACTCATTAACCAGTGTGATTGCTGTTCTCAATTCCATGATATAGATCAATGAAGAGATTCAAAACATTGTTTAGGTCTTCCTAGTCAAGGAGATAACCAGATTGATGAACTTGCATTCATGTGCTTCCATATAGCCGAAAACATCCCGTTTGAATCTCATAAATAAATCATCCATGATGGATTCTCCAAACTGACTTGACAAAATGGGCTCGCCGACTGCTCTCATGTCAGTGGCCAAAATTGCTGCTCTTTCTTCCGTATCGAGGCTACAATCGGCTTTACTTATATAAGTGTCCCAATCCACCATGAAAGTTTCAAGTCTTTCCAGAGTAAAAGACCCTTCATCTTCTATCACCTTCTTTACTTCCTCTGCAGTAGGAGCATAGTATGATAAATTGAAAGAGTCCAGGCTCTTCTCTTCGATCAAGCCCTGAATATTAATCAGTATTAGTGGTTGAAAAATAATTAATGAGATTCGGATAAATATAGCACTAGTTAAAGGTTTTATTTGAAGGACAAATTTTGTCGTAAAATCAAGTGACTTAATAACTACATCTATAATGAAGTAACAAAAAATATGTTCAGTAGGATGTCTTTGTAGGAATGATGTTGTGTATAGTTGATTTTAGTCTTATTTAAGTTTTTTTTTTTTTTTTTTAGGGGGGGGGGGGGGGGGGGGGAATCATATCCCGAGACATGTCTTGTGGTACGATGTCTTTGTCTTTGTATTCTTTTGCTTGCTTGTTTTCTCTTATCTCATATATTTTACGTGTTTAAGATAGACAAAGATGAGGAGATTTGGTTCACAGTATATTAAGTTTTTGTTTTTGTTTTTATCTCAGGACCTATCCTGAGGTAGGATAACTGGTTTTTTATTGTCTCTCTGTACATTATTACTCTCTTTTAATGATGTACTAGTTACCAAAAAAAAAATGTTTAGTAACACATATAACGTCGGGCTATGTTATACCTACCTCTAAGACCATGTCGTTGAGTTTTAATCCAACAAACTCCCAAATGGTAAGAGGATCATCACTTCTTAAGTTGCCCATGGTTGTTAGCATCATTCGCCCTCCAGGAACTACCTCTTCACCGCGTGACTTCAAAAACATACTGAAATCTCTGTTGAACTGCTCATAGTACGCTTTAAACACGGCAGGTGTGCTTGTTTTTGCAATGCAAATATTCCCTTTGTTAAGTGCCTCTGGTTTAATCACCAAAGCTTTTGGTGGCTGCAATAAATTAACATACATAAGAAGACAAAACTAATTAAAGATACATAGAGAAATGGAGAAGATGAATTTGAACCTCGGAGAGCCACATTAGAGCGTATGAAGAGTGAACAAAGTGCAATGACTTGTTATGAAAAAGCCTCCCATAAAAAGACCCTGGAACTCCTGCTATGAAACACGGCTCCAACTTACTGCCCCTTTCTTCCTCCAACTTCTTACAGAAACCTGGCAACGACCTGAAAACAGTGTTGAAATCGTTTCCAGGGAGATCGTTTAAGAACACTTGAAACAACGGCAACTTAAGGTTCGATTTCTGGCTCGCAGCTTCAATGGACTCCAGGATCTCTGATATCACAAGAAGAGTGTTAGGGCCTGTGGAGCATCCCAAATCAGCAACGTTCAAGCACTCAGGCAACAAGGTGCCATAAAGCTCCAGGATGCTCTCTTCTAGTATAGGCTTTACCATCGATATCACTGTCCTCTGAAAGAAAACAAATATAAATTAATGAATGTTTGGAACTTAAGTAAATGATTATTTCTCTTTTTCTCACTTTCTCCGTGAAGAAATATAGAGAGACCTGAAGGAGGGAATTGGTAGCATAGCTTGTTTCTCCAACTCCACCATTCATGTGCAAGATTTCTTCCATGCTCGTACTCTTGAGATTTAATTTCTTTCTCTTTCTCTTGCAATTTACTGTATCTATATCCATCTGTGCAGCAAGTATATATAGAAAAATTCTAACCTGGATACATCGATCTTAACCACAACTTGCCCTGGGTAAAAATAAACTAGAAATATCTCTACCTATAATTTGTCCTCTTTCTGATGTTCTATAATGATATATCTTATCTCTATGTCAAAGTTCTTTAGGGTTTTGAAGTGTTCAAAAGTTTAACTACGTAGATTATAAGTTATTATATATAGACTTCATTAATTGACTAAATTTTGAATGTTTTGATATACTATATCAAGAACATGCTTAAGTTCTTTGAACAATTTTTCATCTTAAAACTTCTTTAGGACAAATAGGAATAATATAAGTTTACCTTGAGTCACTGTCCTAATAAATAAAAAGTAAAATCAATAATGCAAGCTATTTTATTGTTTGGTTGACACAAATTAAATAATCAAGAAAGAAAGAAAGAACTACCACATGTAACGAGTGGGAATTAATAAATATTCCAACTCAAAATTCATTAATTAACCAGGTTCACATTAGTTTAGGGTTTAGGGTTTGGGTTTTTTTTTTTTTTTTTTTTTTGTTTTAGGGTTTTAGGGTTTAGGGTTTAGGGTTTTTAGGGTTTTAGGGTTTTAGTGTTTTAGGGCTTTTAGTGTTTTTGGATGATCGGAGTATCCAAGCCAGCTTATACCCATTTTAACTAATCCTTGAAATCCATTAAACACCTTACCTTACGAGCCTAATTTCAACTCAAAAATCATTCATTAACTAGGTTCACATTAACTCAAAAGTAATCATTTATTCACGAGAATATTCTATTATTTTTTGTCATACTTACTACTGTAAATTTATTGGCATGTTAATGTTAATTAACCAATCAAATCAAGAAGCAATTTTTATATAGTTACTTCCAAAGCCTCGTTAAAATGTGATTAGTCGTAGCCACACTATAACATATGGGTTCAATTGAACCCACTCAAACTTAAAAAGAAAATAAAAAAATAAAATAAAAAAGCTTCATATTTTATAATATTTACAATTTTGACCCATTTAAATTCATATTGAATCAACTCAAACTTTGAAAAAAATAAAAAATGGTTTTATATTTTATAATGTTTACATTTTTTACCGCATTTAAATTCATATAGACATCACAAAATTTTATTGTAAATTTATCAATTTAAATGTTTTGAACTCACTCACTAAAGATCCTGATTACGTCTGTGATCGTAGCTATATATTTAACCAAATTTGTGGAAGATATATAGTGAAAGCTTAATATTTGAAATATATTCGAGGGCCATCTGTATAATGACATAGAATGATGATGCATGCCATAATACGTTGGATGGATGTAATTAATATTAGAAAATAAAACTAAAAATTTAAACAATGTTTTTCATGAGATGAGCTGATTGACAACGAATCTAACTATAGTCTTCTTCTTTTAATATCAAATTCAATCAATAATTGACTAATTGTTTTCCATGGACTTGGAATCACTTCGTTAACTACTACCCCAATGTGGGTTTATTCCAATTTGTCTAAACTAATTGCCCACAATTACCAACCAATGTTGTGTTCATATTAGGAAAACCTACATCATCATATACGTAGTAATGATGTATAAGTATATGCAATAAAAGATTAGTAATCTTAGTTTTTTTTTTTTTTTTTTTTTTTTTTTACTATTAAAGGATAAATTTAACCGCAAAAAATCTGCACAAGGGTGAAACCAATATTTTATTTTGAGTAATATTAGACGTACAAACAAATCCTACAATGATTTTTATACAAATTGATGTGGCAGAAATGATTGGAAGAGTAAATATGATGAGTTTGACTTTTTGTATTCACTCTTTTATTCATTTTTTGTCACATCAGTTTGTATACAAATCTTTATTTTTTTATCTGTACATAACATTATTGTTTTATTTAATCACCACGGGGTGGCCTGATAGTAAAAGAGCTAAGAAGAATATAACATGGTCTCCTAAGTTCGAGTTCCCTTGATGATAAAAAAGTAAGAGGATGATCTAACATGATCTCCTAAGAAAATGATCTAACATGGTTTTCTAAGTTAAAGTCCCCTTGAGGATAAAAGAACAAGAGAATGATCTAATATGATTTCCTGAGTTCGAGTTCTCACAGTTGCTAATAGGGGTGTCATTGGTGCTCGTACCTGACCGGTAGTTCTAAGGTCTCGGAAGATTAGTTGAGGTGCGTATAAGCTAGGGGTGTATACGAGCCGAGCCGAGTTGAGTCTCTGGATACTCAAGCTCGGTTTATGATGAACAGTGTTGAGTTCGAGTTTGAGCTAAACTCGTTTAAGCTTGAATTCTTGGGCTCGAGCTCGAGTTCGCGAGTATGGGTGGGTGCTCGAGCTCGAGCTTCGAGTTTATTGTGAGAATGGAGTTGTTTGTCATTTTAAAAACTTGAAAATAAAAAAATTACAAAACTTGCGATTTGGCCCTTCGAGGGTGATGAGGCTTGCGAGCCTATCGAGTTGTGCTTCGCCCAGATCGAACTTGGCTCGACCCCTTAAATGAGCCACCTGAGCTCGAGCTCAACTCGATTGACTTCGAATCGAGTTCAAGCTTTTCACGAGCCGAGCTCGAGTAGCTCGTAAACTGCTCGACTCGCTTCTTATTCCTAATGTAAGCTGGTCTGGATACGTCCGGTCATTAAAAAAAAAACATTACTTTTTTATTTTGGGGAGGGTTGAATTTTTTTTAAATAATATTTTACATATATATATTATAGAAAAGTTTTTTTGATATAGAAAAGAATCATAAAGGAAAACAAACTTTCAAGATGAAATTTTCTATCAAAGATAATTTTTTTAAGAGGGTTGATGTGAAAGAGCTAGAGATCATCATAGTTGCTTGTCATATAGTAATTAAGATTTTTTTTTTTTTTTTTTTTTTTTTGTGGAGATAATGGAATAGAAAGAAATTCTATTAATTTAAGAATGATGAAATAAAAGAAATTATTTTAATAGGATTGATATACAAATTGTGATTTTCTTGCAATAAACGGAATATAAATCTTTTTTGACATGGAATGATGAAAAAGAAGAGATTTTTTTTTTTTTTTTTTCAAGTAAGTGTAGATATGTGATAGGTAAAGAAATATATAAATAAACTGACTTTGTTATTAAGATTTTGTTAAGTTGTTTTAACGGCCCAATACTATGTTCCTACCCAAACTTTGCCTTAAAGACAATCTAGTACCCAAAAGTTTGGAAATGACAAATACCCACTTTTGTACTATTTGTTAGTGAATTCCGTCTATGATCATGGAAAAGACTAAAAGCCGTTTTCCTTCTCCTCCTCTTTTCTTCTACCATTTTCTTCTCCGCGGCTTTATACACCTCCTTCTCCAAGATTATCTCTCTCTCTCTCTCTCTCTCTCTCTCTCTCTCTTAATATCTTAATCATCAATTCCCGTTCAAAATCACCATCTTTTTTTTTTTTTTTTTTTTTTTTTTAACACTTTACTTGGCAATGAAGAAGGTCGGTTATGGTGTGTGGATATAGTGGGGGAGACCGATTGGCCGTCAGCAGGTGACTCGAACCAATCGGATTCAAATTTACAAAACGCGTTGTGGTATTTAACAAATGTTTTTTTGTTACAATTTTATCCCTTATTATAAAAATTTTGGACAATTACCCCTACTTTAAAACAAATTTACATTAATATCCTATTTCAATTTTACCTTTGTTTAATTAAAATTTTAGACATAATACCCTTATATTTAAAATAATTTACAAACCACCACTGCCACTAAGCCACCACCACCACACCACCTAGCCACCACCGCCGACAGCGGGTCAACCACCACGACCACCGCTGGAAAATGCCAGAGTCCCTAAAAACACTGGAATTTGTGGAGGCTCCGGAGGCTTCGATATGACCGTTTTCGGCCATATTCTGGCGATTTTCCGGCGGTTGTTCGCGGTGGCGGCAGGTGGTGGCAGGAGTGGGGGGATTTCGTCATGAATTAAAGTTTTTTTTAAAGCGGGGGTGTTTTAGCCAAATCTGAAATATTGGGGGTTAAAAATTATTTAAAAATTAATAATAAATATATTATATTAATATTTAAAAGAGGGTCAATTTAGTAATTTAAATAACATACCCACCAATTTATTCCCATAACCAAACATATTAATATAACATACCCACACTAACCAAACATATTTTCTTAAAGATTCTCAGTAATCTTCCAGGTAATCTATCTTTCCAATGTCCAATATTCACGTAATCTAACATTCCTGAACCAAACGCCCCCAATGGGTAGTAATTTAGAATAAATAAAACCGGGATACCAACTGGCCATTTTGCTACCATGGCCATTTCAGTGTCTCCTGCATGAGTTTTGAATATGGAGACAATTCATCACCAGAGCCACGGCCACGAGTTGACTTTACAGGAGGAGAATTTTTACCACTACTGCGATGGTTGCTGCAGTGGGTGCTTTGAAGCCATCAGCGACGGTTCTCCGGCCTATGTTTGTGAAGCTTGCAGGTTTGGTCTTCACAAACCATGCGCCGAATTGCCCACCGAGATTTCGCATCCTCTTCACTCTCAACACCCTTTGACCTTACTTTCCCACCCCTACCCTCCTCTCCTCTGTGTTCGATGTAGAGATTTGTACTGCAACTTCGGTTTCAGTTGCAGCCTCTGCTCTTTCAATCTTGATTTAAAGTGCGCTTTGTTAAAAGATGATTCTCTTTCCCCTCATGAGGTCCTGGAGAGAGATAAAAAAGCCACCATCAGACATTTCTGCCACAAGCATGAGCTGAAGCTCTGCAATGTATCGGGATGCAGTTCGAGTTGCCATTGTTGCGAATATGGCATTTCTGATTCGGCATATTATTGTCGTGATTGTGAGTTCACGATTCATGAATCTTGTTCGGAGATTCCTCAATGTGTTGAACAACACCCACTTCATCCCCAACACCGACTTCGCTTTTGTGATATTTATGAGGAATTTCAAGAAAAGCACAACCCTTGTGATGCTTGTGGTTATTTGATTCAGGGATTCAGCCTAATGTGCGGATCTTGTCAATGTTTCTTTCATGTTCCTTGCGTTGAAGCAACTCCACGCTCATTGAAACATAAGTGCCACAGGCATAATCTGTTTTATTTCAAGGATGTGAATGCGGAAACATGGTTTTGTGATTGCTGTAACCTTTATTTATCTGGGTCTTATTATGGCTGTGTGAGTTGTGGGATCAGGCTACATCTCCAATGCGTACCTATACCCAAAATTGTGGAGCATAAATGTCACTGGCATCCCCTTACACTTGTAGATTCAATTGTAGAAGATGATTATTCAAAAGGCTGTTATTGTGATGTTTGTAATAGACCACTGTATCTGAAGCATCATGTTTATAGATGTGAGAAATGCCGCTTTTTTGCTCATATTGAATGCATCGTCTCTGAGGTAAGTTTGCAATCCCTCCCATTTAGAAGAATTGTGATCTTCCATAGTCAAATTTATATGTAAAACATGATTTGCATTTGTTATTATAAATTTAATTGTGGTTGAACTGCATCAATTTTTATGTTTTTTCTTGTGCTTGTGAGTGTTTGATCCATTCTATGTTATAATTTGACTCTGTTCTGGTTTGTTGATGGTTGTTTTTAACTTGAAATTATTGGGTTGCTTCAGACATGCCAAATGTTTGATAAATTGCCACACTTGATTTTTAAGGTTTGAATTAAGATATTTGAAAATTAGTCCAACAATATACAAAGAATCAATCTCTCATCAAATTTTGGCGATTGCATAATGTCTATACTTTTGCTGTAGATGGCAAAATTATGTAAATAATTGTGTTCCCTTCTCTGAACTTGATAAGTATTTGCTCTATCAGGATGACACTTCATTGGAGATACTGTCATCCTTAAATCTTGGGTTTGAAGATAAAGCAGAGCAATGTAATGATAGAAAGGAGAATATTGATGACACAGATGGAAACAGGATTGTGGCAATTGAGGACGAGAGTGATAAAACAGAAGAGAGTGAGGAAGTGCAGGAGGCAGATGCAGATGCAGAAAAGGAACTTAATGTGATGCAAAAGACTGTAGCCTAGGCCTAGCTGTATTCGACAAAAGAATAATATGCAAAAGACTGGAGGTTTTAGGTTTTAGCTTAATGGAAAATGTTTCGATAAAGATGGAGGCATTAGCTTCAGAATTTGGGGCTGCAAGAAAAGATGTTCCATCAAGTTGAGACCTCTATCTTGATTCTGGGAAGAAGATTCATGCATCAAATTACTTCACACTTGGTTTACTGGCACTGTCCAGGTAAGTGAACAATGTTTATTTTATTATAATTCCCTTATGAGAATTTGGGAACAAATTTTTAACTTTTTTGCCTTGCTTAACCTTCAATACATATTCTTTTGAAAAATTATGGGAGGTTTCACTAATTATAACCCAAGAAGAAGAAATTCAAGGACATGCAAGTGCACAAATTAACCTGATAGATTGGTACATTTTGTCATGCTACAGGGGATCTCACCAGGACAGGAGAAATGGGAAGTGTCACGAAATAAAGCTCTCTAACCTCAATTTCTATTGTTTATTTGATTAGTTGGTTCCTTTCACTTTGACATGGGTAGTTGCTCCTTATATTGCTTATGTTGGATGAGTAATCTCTGAGGTAAGACTATATTGACAGCCACTATGGAATGCTAGAATGATATGACTCTAAAGCAAAATTTGTGAATTACCTGTTCTTCTTGAGCACATATTTCCCAGATTTCATTCTCTAAACTTGGTTCATGTTTGTTCCATCTCTGGATGACAATTCACTGGAGATAACAAGCAGATGTAACGACAAATACAAAGCAGAGTAACATATTTGTAATGTGGCTGCCGATAATGCAACTGCGGATGCGGGAGATGAAGCGCAAGAGTCTGGTGCAGAAGAATGTAGCTTGACTGAATTAGATGAAAGTATCATAAATTTTGGGAAAAGATGGAGGTACTAGCTTTATATCTCAAAGGAGCCTACAGCAAAAACGTGCCCACAAGCTACTTCCTTGATCTTGATTTTGGTATTAAATTTTCTTGGAGCTACTTCTGCATCAATTTTATTCACATTTGGAATATGTGTATGAATATACTCTTTATGTTGAATGAATTTATTATTTGAGTTCATATCTTCAAATTTTGGTGATATAGAACAGTACTGCTTCAATTCTGCCCTTGAAAAACAGCCAGAGATAAGTTGAAACTTGTTCTGATTACTTCAAACTAAGCAAATCATGACTTACATAGATTTATGAGGACAGGAAAGGCCCTTGTCATGTGAATTGTGGGAAAGAATTTCAAGTAGTTTTTCATCAATTTTTTTTATTATGAATTGGTCTATCTTGACAAGTTGCCATAGCCGTTAGGGGTGTACAAAAAAATCTGGATATCCGAAAATTCAGATCGGATTTGGATATCAATTTTTGGAAGATCCGATTTCCGGGTCAGATAGCAGATCGGTTCTACAAAGAAACCGGATATCCGGATTTGATCCAGTTTTGTCCATAACTACAAGTTTTAAGAAGTTACTTCGGGGTCCTAGGTGAAAAGTGATAAAGTATGTGGGCTGTTCTGAAAGAATGACAACTTTGGGGGTCAAAATAAAATGTTGATGTGGCGAGGGTACTAATTTTTTTTTCAAAATTTCAGGGGGGAATATATTTTCCACGCAAATTCGAATCAAAACCGGATCATATGAAATCCCGATCGGATTCATATTAGCTTTCATTCGGATCAGATCAGAAAAATATAAAACTGAATCGGATACCCAGCTTTGCACATCCCTAATAGCTGTCTTAACAGGTTGGTAATATAATATACAGTAGTTAATAGAACCAAGAACTACAGCAAAATTATAGAATAAAATCATGCCTCAGCAAAACTATGCAATGTATATCTGTGGCAACTTGTCAAGCTGGGTTCCAACTTACTATTAATATATTACTACCAAGAAGTCAGTCAATGGAAAAAAGTATTTAATATCAATTTGTTCTGTTTTTAATTACCCATGTTCTATCATATTCTGCCAGCCAAAATCATTTTAGTAACATAAAATCAAGAAACAACTTAGATCAAGAAGCAACAAACAATTAGTAATTTATTAAACTACCTCTAGCTGGTTCGATAGAGACTCTTCGGTGTATTACTCAAAAGATCTTGAATTTGAGTTCCTCCTCAGTTGCTAATATGGGTAGTCACTAGAGCTCATATCCGATTGATAGTTCTAGAATCTTAAGGGATTAGTTGAGGTGCGCGTAAACTGGCCCTAATACCTCATTCATCAAAAAAAAAAAAAAAAAAAAAATTATTAATTTATTATGTTATTGTTAATCTAAGAACTACTAGAACATTGACAGAGAAGAAGAAAAAATATTCCGGGAAAATTTACCATTCTCCTTTCTTCATCTAGTCAACTCTACTTCTCTCTTTGAACAAATAAAAATAATATTCACTCTTTAAATCTCAGCACAATGTCTGAAGTTCTCATCCTTCTGATGAAGACATCAGCTTCATCATTTCTCCTCTCTCTCCCCCACCACCATCTTCAGTGGGGCAACTCTCTTCTGTAGCTGATATAATAATATCGACTTTCTCTTTGTTGTGGAAGAAATTAAGCTGAAAAAAAGATGAGCAAGGACTATTGATGATATATTAATGATATTGCAGCTTCGGGATGGATCGGAAAGCATATCCCATTGTGCGAGTTCGAGATCCGGCAACTGTGTGTGGTGTCTCAAAAGATTTTCTTGAAACAGCCCAGTTTGTTAGAGCTTGAAGCACCCATCAAGATTTGTGGTACTTTTACCATATATACTTTTCAGTAATTTATATATTGCATTTGGTTGATTGCTTGATTTCGATTATTCACCCATGGGCCATGTCCATAGTTTTCTTGAACACCAAGGTTGCATATTTTCAAGAGTTCTGTTTTTGAAATGCAGGTGACATCCATGGTCAATATCCTGATCTCTTGAGACTTTTGATCCTGGTGGTTACCCTCCAAATACCAACACTTATTTTTGGGCGATTATGGACCGTGGCAAGCAAAACCTGGAAACAATATGTCTTCTCCTGCATATAAAATTAAGTATCCTAAAATTTTTCTCTTGAGAGGAAACCACGAAACTGCTTCTATAAGCAAAGACTATGGTTTTAGAAAGAGTGTATCAGAAGATTCAAGTCTCGACTATGGGACACATTCATAGTTTGTTTGACTGTCTCAGTTGCAGCCTTAATTGATGAGAAAATCCTCTGCATGCATGGAGGCATATCTGAAGAGTTGGATGATTTGGATCAAATTAGAGAAATACAAACGTCCGACTGATGTACCATATTCAGGTTTGGTCTGTGATCTTCTGTGGTCAGATCCCAGTCAAGATTTTCAAGGTTGGAGGTAATAATGGCAGGGGAGCCGGGCAAACGTTTGGTTCAGATCAAGTGACAGAATTTCTGCAGAAACATGATCTAGATCTCATTTGTCGAGCCACGAGGTCACCTGTTATATAGCTGTGTATTTTAGTCAGTGTCTACGTTATTATATATATTCATCCCTTTTTCTTTATTTTCTGCAGGTTGGGGAGGATGGATACGAGTTCTTTGCCAGCAAGCAGCTTGGAACTATATTTCGGCACCCAATTATATGGGAGAGTGCAACAATGTGGTGCCATCTTAAATGTCGATGAAAATCTGATGTGCTCTCTACAAATACTAGACCTGATCAGCTCAGCTCGTAAACGCCACAAAACTTAATTCCATGAATTGTTTTATGAAGATCGATTGACAGGTATATTTTCCCATTGTATGTGCAAATCTTATGTACTTTGTTAATTTTTCCAGCTTTGCGACTCAATCAAATTTGTAAAACTGTAATGAGGAAAAACTTAACTCGAATGGAAAGGCAAGGGAATTAATCTCGAGGTGCCAAATCAACATGATGGCAAGAGGTTTTCTAAAGTTCCTCTAAAGTTGAAATGACCCTTCTTCTATGTGATGAGAAGTATTTTCATCCATTTTGAAATCCAAATTATGCAAATACTTGTAAAATTTTCAACCCGAACTTTGTGAAAACAAAGAAGCTATTTGGTGTCTACTAGTTGTCTAAGATGAAAAATATTCACATGTCTTGTGTTACAACACAAAACAACAATGAGAAAGTAAACTATGTATATAACGTAATGTTTATAACTTCCATTGACTGAGTGGTATTGCAACAGAATGCATTGTCTAAAACTTTCTCAAAAAAAGAGACAAGAGCGATTATAGCGAGTTAGATAACAAGGCTAACAATCGATTATACCTTTAGAATTGATAAACAAGTCTCATCTTGGAAACTTAGGTCATAAAGTTTGAAATCAAATCTGAATAATCATTGAATGTCTTAAAAAGAGTGAACAAAATATTTATAGGGTGGTGACTAGGGAGAAAATCAAGTCGAACCACTCGCAAGCGGCTTGAGCTCAGCTCGATGTTGGCTCAAACTCGACTCGACATTGTTGAGTCAAGTTCGATCACAGTAGAACTCGACTCAAGTATTCACGAGTATTTCCAAGCTTGATGGTTAAGTTTATAGTTTTAAGTAATAGAGGTCATATGTAATTAAAATTTAAAAGAATAGTTCGAACTCGTTAAAACTCGAATAAAACTCACTAAACTAAAAAAAAACTGATTATAAACTCGAATTAATTTCAAGCACGAGTTCAAGTTCGAACTTGATTTCTCAGCTCAATCAGGCTCGAACTCGGTACTATAGCGCTTGAGTCTGAGTTCGATTTACCAGTTACTCGACTTGACTTGATTTCACCCTTAGTGGTGACAGCAACCCTAACAAGGAATAAAATCCAAATTATTTTAAAAAAAAAAAACTCCTAAATAAAATAGGAAATCACGCATAAAACTTAAATAGCCCCGAAACACGCGAACTGTAGATTTTGGGCTCGAAAAACATCCTCCAACGCGAACCAAGTTAATGCATGTAGGGCTCAAAACGAGCTTTTCGTTGATTATTATGGGGCCGTGTAACTCCTTCTAGATCAAAAGTTATGACTGTTTTAAAATTGGTCTTCTCACGTCTGGGCTTTGAAGCTTGACCTCATAAAGGAATTCAGCTCTAGACATTTTACATCAAATTAGCTCCATCTTTACTAACTTGCTAGGCCTGTGTCATTGCTCTACAACGACTAGCGTGTAGTGGTGCAAGATTGATACAGAAAAGTTGAAGGGCCTCATAATTAAGTAGAATTAGAGGTGCATACGAGCCGAGCTGAGCACGTAGTGGCTGGCTCGAGCTCAAGAGAGTCTGGCTCACGAGATTGAGCTCGACTTTTAAGAAATGGATGGCTCGAGCTCGGCTCGCTTGGATATTTGTTAGCCAAGCCGAGCCGAATTTGAGCCAATATTAAAAAAACAAAAAAATATAGCATGCAGTATGCCTTCTGCCTTCTGTGCAGTTTAAATTGAATTCACCAAAATCGCATGATTCAAAGCAAAAAACTCAAAAAAAACCAAAAATTCAATTATTCAATCAACTTCACCTAAATCAAATCCAATAAACATGGGAAATGAAGACCTTCATCCAAAAATCAACATTGTAAAAAAAATAAGCTCAAATTAAACAAACATTCATCCAAATAACATCCAAAGCAAAACACAAACTATAAATTAACAATCCTTAATCAAAAACAACATTCAAAGCAAAACACAAAATAAAAGCAACATTAAGCATATGGAATTCAGTCTATGGGAAACAAAGCATCCTATTTTCTTCTGCCGAATCATGTCAACAACAAGATCAGCAGTTTCTCTCTCTTGCATCCACCTGACCCATGAAGCTTCTCTTCTCTGCATCAACAAACCAGTAGCCAAAGATATTGCAGTTCCATTTGGCTACAAATAGCAAAAAAAGAAAAAAATGCATAGAGATTCCTTTAAGTTAACATCACTTTAAGCAGCAAACTTATTTGCAGTGTGACCCAAACAGCAAACTTACATATTCGACATTGTAGCAGCTTCGATTGAAAGGCAAATGAAGGTTGGAGACGGTAGATGAATGAAGGCTGGATGAAGGCTCCAACAGGGTGTCTCAGAATTTGCATTGTGAAGAAACCCAAGCTCAATAAGGTCTTAATAGAAGGTGAACGGTTGGTAGCTAAAAAACAGCGGCGTGACTAGCGTCTCAGATTTG